GGGCTACCTGACACAGCTTCCCAGCTCAGGCCCTTGGGGTCAGATGCAAGCACTAGTGCCAGGGCAGAGGCAAGGAAGCACATTAGGAATAAAGCAACAGCACCTGGCTGCTGGCAGAAGGTGAGGTCAGTGACCTCATATCCTTGTGTTAGTTAAGATTTAAAAACTGACTTGCAGTTAATATTACTTTCTTGGCTTAAAAATACATGTAAAGTATTCCTAATTGCTCTACTGGAGCATAGTTTGTTTCTTGGAGGAAGACACAAATTAAATTATTAAATTTCATAATATACATAATGGCCTAAAGTTTCTGCAAATCTATTGTTCTTTGGGTAGAATGACTAATATGAATGGCCAACATGAAATCCCCAGGGTCCTGGAAAGCCTGAAAATGCCATGGATAGACACCTTTCCAGCTTTATTGCCAGACCATCTTTTAATTCTCCCAAGCATTTGTTCCATCTCCAGAAGCTTTCTGCAGGACCAAGCTAAACCAAGGCCAATAGTTTCTCTAATTAGTGTTAAATTTCACATGAAAAATTGGACAAAATGACCAAGTTTTTGACTAAACAAACTGTACTACACTAGAAAATCAGTTTCTCAATTTGCAAAGCAGAGCATAACTCTAAAAACCATAGAGAATTGTCACTTTTAAACTGACAAATTTACTATCAAAGTAATGGTGCACAATGGGGGAAGCACACCTCTGAGAGGTAGGTAATGTGATCCACCCTTCTTCTACCACCAGGACCAAGAAAATATGCCACTAAGTGCAACAAATAAAAACAGAACTGGTGGTATATTAAATACCAATCTGATGACAAATGACAAACACCAGAATTCCTTAAATCAGACTTATTTCAAACTGATCTCACTGGAGGCCTTGTTTGCTACCCCTAAACATCCTTTTGGCATAGGAGTGCACAGAGTAAGGACACCCACATGCTCATTATCAGTGCAGATTTACAGGCTGTAGTTCCAGTAAACATTGGACTAAAAAAAAAGTTCCTTGAACTTTGAAATAAAGAATAAAGCTTCAACTTCTCTCATAATTAAAAGCTTTGAGAATGGCCTTCAGTTCAAGTCCTGTGTTCATCACTGGTGTTCACTGACTGACACAAGGGTTCAAACCAGTACCATAAATGGGAAAACCACCAGTTCTGTAAGGAACACATCTGGCAGGATTATATAGTCCACATACAAGCTGTCATGACCTTCAGTAGGACACTTCATTATTCTTCATGTCACCTATAGAAACTGGTTGTGTCAGCTGAAACCTATTGGTATCTACACACATCATTTTTGTCTGAAAATATCTGTAGCCAAACAAACCAAGCCAGATGTTCAGCTTGCAATGAGACAACAGTATGAGGATGAACATATGGCATTTCAATCTTGCATCCTAGCAAAAATCCACTCTATTACCTAGTTTGCAGTATGTACACTTCATTAAGCCAGACAGCCTTTAAACATTACTACCCACACACCTCTGCAAGGCTGTGTCAGCTGTTCTTTTAGAAAACTTACCTGCCAGAGTATTTTTTTGAAAATCCCCTCATACCAAGGAATTTGGCTCATTAAGAAATTCATATTCTACAGATTGAAATAAATTTACTGTGATCTTCTTGCTTTGCATTAAGGGAATGTTACATGTTCTTTTTTCTTTGGCAAAGGAAAACGAGATATTATTGCATATACTTGATCCTTTATCCAGATTCCTGCCTTCTGATATTTACATAAACATAACTTAATACACCAGAAATATTTAATGTTTTACAAAGAGCTTCTGTTCACATTTGGTAAAACTTCTTTTGCTAACCTATGTGCAGAGGGATCCTTGTGTTAAGAGGAACCGGTTCAGCTTCCACATGAGCAGCTGTTAATGTAGGCACACATTCAAACACGCAGTTGTCTGAAATAGCAGCGCTGTAGACACTGAAAGTCAAGAAGGGCCAGCTCAGGTTGCAGGGCAGCATGGCCACCCCTGTGGGATGGTGTAATCACAAGCCAGTGAAATCCTTCTCCTGCTAGGAAGCTATTACTGGTCAGTCCTCACACTGCTTACAAGCGTTGGGATTGGCCTTTAAGCAGTGATTCATGAAGGTATCACACTGCTCTGCCTGCTGTGCTGCTGTCTTGGCTCACTGCAGTCACTTCCCTCCTAGTTTCTGCAAACCATACATAGCACACAACAAATTCTCCTCCAAATGTCTCTCCCCATTTTTTCCTTATCCAGAAGGTGGTTTAAAATCACAAATGGAAAGAATGTCTCACTTGAAGCCGTGGTTGTGACTTTTTCACACTTTGACTTTGTAAGATATTCTAGTTTGTTGCTTTTTAGTTATAGCAATTTCCAGTAGGTTCCCATTCCCTTGGCATTAATGAAGAACAGCAGTTTTGTCTCATCTCACTCATTAGGAAATGCTAGTTGCTCAATGCTTAGTTACAAGAGTGAATTACAAACTATAAATGCCTACAGCAGAGACACATTTTTCAGTGTTCTGCACATGCAGACTGCTCAGCTGCAACACCAGAGCACTCACCCTGCTTTGCGTAAGAGCACAGACACACCAGATCTCTGTCAGTCGGGGACTTCTAGTGTTCATCTCAGATTTCTCTGGCAGCATGACCCAGGGAACACTTCACTTCCCAGCAATAAATAGCAAAGAACTACCAATTAGTTGCATTTGTTTCCTAATACTCTATGTTTTAAAAGCATTCTCTCCTTGAATCATTTGCTAAGAGCAGTACAAAAATTCCAGGCAACACAAAATTCAGCCGAAGTACTTAAATATGATTAAGATAATGGGCACATCATAATACTCTGTGAGTGGATGTCCAGAATAATCTCTGTTGTCACCAGAAATGAATTTAATAATATTAATACAGATGCAGGATTCATGATTCAACAGTATTTCACCACTTAAGAGTTCACAGAGAACTGCAGGTTATGAAACTGCAATGACATTTGAGTTCTTCTAGAAAGCTGCAACACCGCAGATGAAAAGTGCAGGAACAACCGGCAATGGTTTTTTGTAACACTTTGTATCACTGAGGAAATTTTATGAAGTGTATCACAAGTAACCAATCTACCGTGATTAACATTGAAATGTAAAAAAAGAACAATGAAGGAAAAGTGTTCTGACCTAATTCTCATATCACTGAAGACTTACTTTAACCACCAATTCCACTATGAATTTAATAAAGAGCTGACTTCAGAAACAGTAACAACTTCAGAAACCACTTAGTTTGTGTGTCAACTGAAGAAGCTATCAGTTCTGTTAAAAGTCAACTTGGGGTAACATTTAAATATATGCTAGACTTTTGAAAATCCTGATTATGACACCAGTCAATATTACCCTTTTTTTTTGAGTTTTCAGGGATGTCATCACTTGCAACTTGTAGTTCTGAATAAATTACTTAATTTGCATTTCTCTAAGTAATTATGACCAAATATATTTTGACTAGAAAACAAACTACCTAGCTAACTAGCCAGAGCAGATGAATTTTACTTAAGTAATTAAAAACAGCCTTAGGTATTCATTGACTCATGGCAAAATCAAACTCCCAATCAGCTGCAGACCCAGAAACTACCGAGATCTTATGTTTCAATATTTCAAAGTGAAACCATGTTTTCTCTCACAGCTTTTCATGATGAAAAGCCTCACGCTACCAGATCACATCCAGTAATTAAATACCTGTTGTACTGTGGCAGCCAGAAACAATATCTACTCATGACAGTCACGCAACAGAACATCCCCTTCTACAAAGCAAATTACCAGCATGAGTGAAAACAGAGCCCTTGAAGTTAAAGCGATATGGTACGTGAACAAGTTACTGTGAGGTGAGAGCTGTGATCTTGCCATGGGATAAATGTGAGCACCAGGATAGCCCAACTGCAGAGGAGCCTGTGTCTATCCAGTTTACCTTACACTGTCTTGTCCACCAAGTTGTTTCATGTCACTGGAAAAAGAAATCTCCTCGTAGCTGTTTGTTTTCCCTCTCGATTCCTTATTCCATTTGAGCTCATTAGTCTAAGAACAGCTTGAGACAACAATCTGTTTTGGATTTGAAGAGTGACTAATCTTGAATCTGTATTAACACTATGAAATTAATTTCTGGTGACAGCAGGGACAATTCTGTACCTGCACTTGCAGGATAGTATGATGTACCTGTTATCTTTATCATATTTAAGCACTTCAGCTGAATTTTGTGTTGCCTGGCACAAAAGTGAGTACCTGGATCAAGGTACCAAGACACTGCTGCAATAATAAAAAAATCTTTTTTACCTACAGACAATCCAAGATCTACAAAAGTCTTTATACTGAAACAGTAAAACCCTCTATGACAACTCAGCTAAAGTTACAGAGGTAAATTCATTCTTTAGAAGCAGCCTTTGAAAAGGAAGACATTAGTGTTTGTAGATATATTGAAAAGCACAGCAGACCTTTGTTCAGTAACAGAGGTATATACAGAACAAACTCCACTTTTATCAGACATTTATCATGTCCTTATTTCAAGAAGCAGCATTCATTATGCAGTGAAGTTCAAACAGTGCTTTGGATTTCTTTCTCGTTTAAAACATGAAATATCTTAATTTCAAACCTTTTCAATGTGTAGCTCCTGCATGTCTGCTTATGCATGCAGCAAAACAGGAATGGCTACTAAAGGCTCAAGCTTTGTTTTCTTGGTTATATTGTATAGCCCCTCACAGGTAATCTTAAATTTTGAGAGACCTCTAGACCACATGGTCAATACCTGAGATCTCAGAAGAGAGACAGCCAAACAGCAATTTTAATTCAGCAACAATACTGAAAACAAAACAGGCAAATCTAAAGAACCTGTGCTCTAAAATCTCATTTATACCAGCTGCATGGTTGCCATTTCTTGTGTAGGGAAGTTCCTCACTTCTAAAATACTCATTATCAGTGCACAACAAACTCAGTAAAACGGGGTAGCATCATTACTGCTGCACTAAAGTAATAATAAACCAAATCATATTTACTTCATGTATTTATTTGTGGCATTCACCCATACAGAGAATACAATTACAAATTATGCAGATAATACATACTGAAAGACAACATCATTAATCAAGATGCATGGTATTATTAACAGAAATGTACTTATTTAGACAAGTAAATGTAATTTAGGTATATGATGAGTTTATCTATTTGTGAACAATGGTACCGTAAGTGAAATACTCAGAGGAGGATTATGTTCTCATTTTTTGTTTTTTTAAGATGCTTTTGTTTCTGCAGCACTGTGCTGCTAAAAAAGTATTGTGTCATTAAAGTCTAACTTAAGAATTGATATCAAGATTTATTCAGATGCAATCTAGAACGGGGCCCAGCTCCAGCAAAACCCATGTCACGCATCAAAACAAAGGCAACAAACCACTTAATTCAAACCAATAAACAAGAAAGAAAATTATACATGGTACCAGAACAGAACCATGTAGGTTACATTTAAATGTACAATAAATGTTTTATGTTATTTAGTAACAACTGAAGAGGGCTAATTAAAAAAATAAAAATTGATTCCTTAGGCTCACACAATTCATTTTGTTTGGGATTTTCAAGGCAATGGCAAAAGAGAACTAGATGTCTAATCAGCATGGGGAGAGAGAATACACTTTCTTTGAAAACCTCCAACTTACTATGCAATACCTTTTTAGTCTTCATAAAGGAATATCTAATGGATTCGTATCCCTAGGTTATTTACAACAAAGGGCTTCACAGCAAAGTGCAGAATGGATGAAGATTTAATTTCATACAATGTTCCTAAATATTAGTATTTTAAATACCTTTATTCTGCAGACTCAGAAAATAATTCGTAAGCCTGGAGGTTCTGTCTGAAAGCAAGTGAAATGGAAAACAATTCTAGAAAGGAATTCTATTCAATCAAGTTCTCTCCACAAACATGAAAATACAATTACATGGTTCAGTCTGATCCTTATGGGAGGAAGAAGAAGTTATCCTTCATGATATATTTCACAATGGCCTTACAGAATTATTATATACATGGCAGAACACCTAAATCACTTTTTAATTACCCTTACAATGAAAGGTTTGCTTAGCAACATTTCAACAAAAATGCAAAATTTTCAGCCCAAGGCTTCTTCCAAAGCACAACAACAGTTTTATTCTACAAAATTCACTTCAGGCAGGTATTAACAACATTAAATTCATCTGGAGAAGACACACTGCATTAATCTAATAAATAAAGGAGTGATCTACACATCAGAGACATAGTAAAACTCAAACTATTTCTCATTCTTTTTATAAACTAGCAGATAGGAAACTATGGGGAGGCATTAAAATAACTATGGAGTCGCAGCTTATCACCATCTATATATCAGGATGTGTTATTAGATTATTGAGATTTCTTGAGGAGGACTTTTAAGAGTATTTTTCTTACAACTGAAGCACTTACAAAAAATCCAATAGATTTACCTCTCTTCATAGGAAAAATAAACCAAATTTGGTTCTGTACTAGTATGTATTTTTTCATATGCAGGAATTTAATATTCATAATGAAAGGCCTTTTCTAATTACAATATTTTATCAGAGAGGACTATCTTCACATCTTGCTTGCAAGTCAAGGCAAGTCAGAGGTAGCTTAGGAATGCTTTAGAATTTAGTGTTTTACTTGAAATTAATTAATCCCTCTTTCAAAGGGGTTAAGAGTAAGTACAAAAGGCAAACAGTATATACAGCTGCCACTGTCTGCACCATGAGAATAATTCCAAGCTGAAAATAAGATTAGATTAGAACAGGAAAAAGGACACTGTATTCTTTGCATTTGCTTCAGTGCACCAGTTCAGGCTGGTTTTCTACAAAAGGGAGCACCCCACTAACATAATATGCTATTCCAAGGGACAGAAGAGCAATGACAATGATGAGGAGCAGCACCCTCCAGAAACCCAGGTCTTCCACAAATTCTTGCCATGTTGTGCGGAAACTGGAAAGAACTCCTTCACCTTGCTGTAGGTTTGGATTAAGAAGGGAATGGCTTTCCATTGCACTACAAAGGATTAAAGTTAAAAATACATCAGAGCAAAAGAATGCAACTCTAAGTATGACAGTAATCCTACTAAGGGCATCTGAAACATTCTAGATTAAAAATTAAACCCCCTTACTGATTTATAGCATTGCTTCTGCTAAATCAAGACAAATCAGATCAGGAAAACACTACTAATTCTAAACTTATTTTAGCTGAAAGGATATTTTATTAACCCGTGCAAAGAGAATGATATTTGTGTGTGTACAATTGCACTGAATTTTCGGGCCTGCTACCCAGAAGCATTCAAAGGTCAGTCCCCATAATTCCTACTCAGTATGACTTAGTAAAATATAATGAAGTGTAAGTTAATACCTCAAGGGGCACACATTATTTGGAAATAAAACAAATCATGGCTAAAAATAAACTCTGATAAATAAAATGGAAACTTTAACCGACATTAATTGAGATGCTGAATTCTGCAGTGACCTTTACTACTTTCCTGGATGTCTTTGTTATATGTCTCTTCTCTAGCATAAAAAAAAATAACAGAAAACAATAACTTTGGATAACAAGTTCAGAAACTTTCTGAACAAGTTGGCATTGCTGTGTTTTCTGCCATATGGTGTTCAGTGACTGCTTTGATGTTTTAGCATTTCACTACCAATCCATCAGGCCCCCTTAAATTGTCAGACTACAAATTAGGGAGTGGAATTCTCACTTCTAATGAAAAACAAATATAAAATCTGAGAGAAGGAGTCTTCTTGACAATTCATTGCCTTTAGAAAAGATAAAAGTTATCTCAAAATCCTGCATGGCTTCTTGTATAATTCTCCCAATTTTGCTGGTTTCACAATTGTAATAGGAAGCTATCTGTTGCTTATGAAAAACCTCATGAAGAACAGGAAAGCTTTTGCATAGCTTGACTTCACTTAAAATTTTGTCCGTCTGCACAACCTTACAACTTCTCACTTGAGTGAAATTGCATACATGGGTGTTTACAGGATCAGGCCCTGACAACCAAAGAAAGGAAATGGGGGAATCAACCACATACTCAATGATTTTAATAGCAGAATGTAAGCAAAAAAAAAACCCAATTTTTTTTCCTCCCTTTTAACAGCTTTCTGTTACCATATTCCTAGATATTTCTTACATGACTAATAATAAAAATTTTTAAAAATCAAGGAAAAGTAATTTCCAAAAACTAATTGCAGAAACTAATTGTAGAAATGCAGCTGTTCTTCATGACAGAAAGGAATTGAAAAATTATGGTTATCAGAAAAAAGTCTCATTCGTGAAACTCTCTTCCAAGATCACCATGGGAAAACTTCACACTATTTATACGGTATTTTTTCTCAGGAAGTACAGCCACTGAAGAACAATTAGCCTAAACTCCCACAGTTTGCTCAAGTATTGCAGCATCATGTGCACAAAATTTCAGGAATTGCCTATTAAACAGCCAGTATTTCTATTTTTTTTTAAATATTTACCATGCTGTTAAGCTATTTTAGCTTACCCATAGCTGCAGGATTTAGTCATCTTCCTTACTTATTATGATTTCCCAAGGAAAACAAAGGGTTTAGTAAAAGACAGCTCTTTGCACAGAACAGAACTTCTTACTCAGTAAGTATTAACTAGTTAATACACAACCACAGAGAGGTTAAATAAAGGTGCAATGCAATTTAAGTGGAAAGGTCACATGCTTGCTCATTAAAAAGGGTACATAGAAAACATTTTTACTATTTTATATTATGACCCAATTAAAATCAATGCTATTCAAGATTTTTTTCTTATTACAAACTACAGCTGCATAAAAACTGGTAATGCACCAACATGTCCTCGGAAGAGTTTGTGCCACACAGCCCAGACACATGTTCTGTGTCCAACAGCAGGCGAGAGTTCACATTTGGACATGCTTGTGGCACAGCCACAGGTCCTGCTGGGCTGTGCAGAGGGACAGATGCCTGTGTAAGAGAGGGACAGAAAGAGCTCTGCCTCCTGGCAGCAGGGCAGCTCCTCACCTGCAGGAGAGCAAAGCAGGCAAAACCAAATTCGACTTGGGAACAGAGCTCTGGCCTTTGCTTGCCAAGCAGCAGCAACTGCATGTAACAAGGAGCAGAAAACTGAAGTCAGAGACTGTTTTTAGAATGTGTTATTTCTCCACAGGTTCATATGTAATGTAAGAGTTCAGAGGGCAGAGGACAGAAGACATCAATCTGAGTGTCTCTAAAATGTGAAAATAATACAAAGAGTGAGACGTGAAACTGTGGAGGTCTGAAAAGCTGACTGGTAAAAAGATATTATTTATTTACAAAGTAAACAGCATACAAGCTCATTTGCTTTGGCTTCTGTAGGCATCTGCTATTTGTTATTTTAAAAATAATGTATTTCAGACATTTTAAACACGTTCCCAAGCAAGCTGGGTAGTGCACTGTTTATGTCTCTCTGTCCCCAAGGAGAGTTGCTGATTTCCTGGCCAAAGCAAACAATATAACATTTATGAAGGTCAAATAATAGAAAGGAACTATGTTTGTTAAAGGGACACCATCAGATCAAAAATAAAAATTTAAATGGGGCTGAGCTGTTTGTCCATATGTTTAAACAAAATCAGCCTAAGTGCATTTCTGTGTGACAAGAAACGTTCAATAGGAGTTAGTGAAGTCAGAAAGGTAATATGCACTACAGTGCATTACTACTTCTTACAGTGTATAATCACTTAATTTTGAAAATAAAATTAATTTTCTCTTTCAGGGCTTAAAACAGTCTCTCTGACAGGTGAGGCCACCTGATGCATAAGAAAGAACTTCATGTCTGCTCACTGGGAGTACTGGGTATTATTTCTGCAGTAGTTTTGTTGGTTTCACCTTTTCTGTTTACTCAGCTTAGATCCAACTCCACCTATACAGCTTCTGTTTACAGTACAGCCTGTCTACATTTTCACATAAACCAAGCAAAAGTTATATGACAAAACTCCCTGTTGTTTGTGATACAATGTTCCAGTAGTCATAGTCAGCATTAGACAATATAAAAGAAGCCAAAATTTTTTTGAATGGGGGTAAACAGCATAATAAGACATGCTAGAGAGCAGAAGCCACCATTGCTTTATACAATAGGATTGATGGCTTTCTTTACGTACTGAAAACACCTTGCTTCGTGCTTTGTAGGACTTCACTGCATTTTTCAGGATAGCATTAACTCCTGGAACTGACCAATGTGCCGAGATTGTTCTCCTTATGTTTGTTTTCCAGCGAGAAACTTTTATTTTATGGCATACAGCTTTCAGTAATTACAGATGCATTTTGTGCTACAGAATCACAATTTATTACTACTGATTTCCTCTCTCTTGTAAACCCAGGCTTTTGTCTATGCCATCCCAGTTTTCCTCAAGGTTGCTTGTATCTCATTTTTTGGTGTCACTAACATGCTTCTACTTCTCATGCTTTTGCTTTTTCATTTAAGAAAATTCAAAGCAAGCAGAGTCGCAGAACCAGACTTTTAGGAATTCACTAGTAACTTCTCTCTAACGCAACACCTTCTCTGAAATGGTCAGCAATTTTCTCAAAATCTTCAGTTCTGCATTAACTATCTCTTTAGCCACCATAAAATTCTTATTCTCCATCTTTTCCAGGACTATTAACAATAGAAATTTTAGATATGACACCATATAAAATCCTTTATTCAAGTTCAGATGGATAAAAAGCCTCCTACCCTTTTTTTTGCATAGAAAATCACCAAAAGGATGTCAGGTTAGCCTGTGATACTGCCATTTTGCATTTCACACTATTTCCCACTTGGCTTTGTGGTAGGTGGTAGAATATTTATGTTTGGGACTCTGTAATGGAAAATTAGTTGTTTTTTTTTTTTTTAATTTCTACCATAAAACTAAAATCTCAATAGAAGTTCTTTTTTTCCTTACATTGGATCTGTTTAAAGAGATTTTTTAACACTCAATTTTGATTTTGCCTGATAATGTCAGGCTTAATTTTATATTATCTGTTTGGAAGAATAAACAATCCAGTTAATCCCAAAAATCTGAAAGCCATAAGCATTATTTCTCTTGGTAATTACTTTTGTTTGGTAAATACCTTTCACTTTCAGCCGTTTGCATTGTCTCCAGCTTTGAGTGAGCTCCTCTGTTAAATCCTTTCACCTCTTGCTCCTCTAAAGATTCCAGCAGTCTAATCACATCTTTATTCACACCCCTTCGTTTGGCAAGAACAAGGGGTGTTGCACCTTGGTGGTTGCTAAAACAAGCCCATAAAAAGACATAAGAAAATTTTAACACAGAAATTTTGTAACAAGTCCACTCAGCATAACATATTACAATTTAGTAAGTCCTCAGAACTATTTTCTGTTTTATCAGAGAGTAATAAATTCAAATCTATTCAAGTTACAGTACAGTTGGCTACAGAAGAAAATCAGTATATTTAGGTTTGAACTTGCACAACTCTTTCCTCCCATAATAAAATCAAAATTCCTGGGAATCTAATCTAATTGGAATCTCTGGGTGTTAAAAGCAAAAAAAAAAACCCCAAAGAACAATAGATTTATGGCAATGTTCAGGTTTAAGCTTAATTTCAAGAACGAGTTGTGCAATCTGGCTCCTAATAGTTCCTTTTCCATGAGGGTATTAGGATATGAGGCAGAAATGAAATAAAATACAGATGGTCCCTCTGCTGCTATTAAAATAATACTGAATAGGTCAAGAGCTGCCTTTACACCAGGAATTTCCACCAGAGCTGTTTGAAATGAGGGGAAAAAATCCCAACCCACAACCCATAAATAATCTGGTCTACCAATAACTAGTTTTGCTGAGTTGAAAAACTTAATGAGGGACAGGTGAAAAAGGGACAGATTTAAGAACTCAAAGGTTTTGACGTTACTCCTGGTTTTTGCACATGTTGTGAATATGCAGAAAGTTTCACAAAGTAATTCAGCACAGGAATGAAACAGCTAGTTATTTTGCAGCTTGAGAGCTTCCATCTGAGCACTGGCATCTGACAGCTGCTGGAAGCCAGAAGGAAAGAACATACAATATTCTGAGTCACAGGCTTTGAGGGAGGGCAAAAACATTGAAAAGAAGCATTGTTACTAGAGGCGCATGGGAATGAACTGACACACACATATACTGTATTTTCTTTGTCTTATACAGTACAACAATAGAAGATGGGGTGGAGAAATTCTTTTAAAGTAGTCAATGTGATTTTTTCTTTGGTGCAAACCACCCACACCTGGTTGTCTAGCCAAACCAGGGCAGCAATGTCATCAGTGAGGCAGAATTAGATACAGCAGCTCACACCAGCAGCAGCTATTTCAATTTGCTTTGCTTGTTACACAGACTAGCAGAAGTGGCCTCTTACTATTTACCTGCTTTTTTATTTTGTTTTTATAATCTAGTGGTATCCTTGTAAAGTAGAATTGTACTAAATACAACGCTGTTGCATTTCAGCAACAGCAGATTTATATGCAAGGCTCTGGTGACAGAAGACTAATGTATTATAAAATCTGTACTGTAAAAAGTGACTTACCAAATATCAATTTTAAGTCCATTAGAAACTAGGAACTGGATGGTATCGACATGCCCACACAGGTGAAGGGCTGTGTTACCCTGGTAATCAGTGGCTAGTAGGTCAGCACCAAATTTATGCAAGAGCTGACAGATGTCTACATTTCCTCTGGCTGCAGCCAAGTGAAGGCCAGTTCGGCCTCGGCTGTCACGAATATTTGGGTCGAAACCACTCTCTAAGAGTCGTTTGGAATAGTTAAAATCTCCATCAATACAAGCCTGCAGCAGCGGCACATTTGTCTGGGAGGAGTCGTTCACAAAAACGTAGGACATTGCTCTGAGTATCTCAGGAGGAGGTGACCAACCTGCAAGTAAAAGGGTAAAGAAATGATGGTGAAATCAGGCAAATAAACACAGTGCTAATATTCATTAGACTGCTAAGGTTCCCAAACAAGAATGCAAACTAGCTTATACACATTGTGTTATGCTGCACCCCTTCTGGTAAAAAAGAAAGAGCTCACATCTCTGGAAAGAGCAGCAAAGCTTTGTTAGGAGAGAAAACTGGAAAGATCTCTGCCACAGATGCCAGACAGGTGATTAGTTTTCAACCTAGAAGGAATCACATGTAGTAGTATTAATATTAAAGGGCAAACCACCAGAGATTGGGACAGAAAGGAAGAACCTTTCATAAATGGGGAAATTCTAAACAATTCAGTTCGTTGGTACAGTCACACTAACTGCAACTTTTACCAGCTATAAGCAAAGCTGCTCAAATGGATTTTCACCCTCTGAATCTGAACTCAATGCACAAACTACAGTACAGCTAAAAATGCCTAATAAAAATACTAATTTCTTCATTCTGCAAGAAATGTATTTTTCAATAGTCTTTGCAGAACATTATTTTTACAGTGCCAGATATACACAAACTACTGAACAAACAAGAACAGCAATAGAGAGCACAGAAAACTGAATGCATTAGGTGAAGTTGCACACCGAAAACTGGAAGTGAGTGCAAGGAATACAGTGGTAAAATCAAGCACAGAGCTACTGTGGGTTTGACTTCAACACAGAGAAACAAATGTAATTTCTCTGGCTTAGTATTAAATAAAGGATTAAGTCCTTTTCTGTATCAGGACATAAAAGAGGAAGATAAATGTTTCACCAGGCATTACTTGGTACAGAATATTTGATGAACTATGATTTCAGTTTTGGAGGAGAATATTTTAAGAGTGAGTCAAATCATGAGGGTATGATGACACCATGTGCTTACAGGACACAGAAAAGCTGAAAACATTAAGGAAAAAGGTAATGATTTAGCAAAAGAATGGTAGAGTGTTCATGAGGCAATTTTAAGAAGCATTGAAAACATCTAGAAGACTGGACAACAGTCCTCTTTTTGTACTGCCTCAGAGAGGAAAAGAAATCATAAACAAGTAAAATTTCTCTAAAAGAAATCTCAACAGAGACACGACAAAGTTCAAATGACAGGAGGGAAAAGTGATTTTACTAGATAAGCTTTGAATAGAAAGTGAACTGAAACATCACTTGAAACAGTATTTTTCATTTGCCCAGGGTTTCTATTCTGGGCTTATGGTGTAGCAGTGTTCTGATTAAATATCTGAACCTCCTATTAAAACTGCTATACACAGATTTAAATTTTCTCATCTATATAAGGTATCCTTCCACACCAGTGCACTCATTCAGCCAGGAGAATGGAAACATGGCCAGGAGCCAAAGAATTCAATTTAAAACCTCTCCTTTTTTGAGAGTTCAAAATGTCTATATTTTATGTCTCTTCCCCCATGTTTTAGATCAAATTCAAGATCAAAGTACCTACAGAAGTAATTTCAAAATATTTACACACTGGTCCGAATAACAGCTCTAGCAATGGGGGCTGTTGAGGTTAATAAATCATATTTAAACTTCACTAGGCTGTGTTTCCTATCTGGACAAATTCTGCTAGATATATCAACACTGTCTAGTTTTCCAGTGCAGTAATTCACAACATTTTTTCTTTATTGGATGCTGAAGAGAAAGAGATAGAAATAAATTTTATGTCTTGGTATCTGTATAAGGAATGATTTTAAGCAGAGTACATTCCTCTAGGCTGCAAGTACGTTTTTAAGCGTGTGATAGTACATCACTGGCTCAATAACTCATTTCCACAACAATCTCCAATAGCAAGTGGCCAGTTTGCTGATACACTGTAAAACTTAGTGCAAGACTGGTGTCATGTAGGGCATTGACAACTTCCTTATAACCCTATACAAAAAGAAAGAAAAATGCAATTACTCAAATTTTCAATTAATATGTTACAACCCCCTGGATGTTATAAAACTATGATTCCCTGACAGAAACTTCAATTTGAATTGCTCATAGCAATTTCAATTTTCTTGCCCATTTTCCACCCAAATCATGAATCTCATACCACCATTCCACCCAAATCTCCTATCATGAATGACATGAGAATTATTTTCCCACTCTGGTCATCCAGTCTTCACTGAGAAAAATAATGGACCCAGTTTTGCTGTGATGTGACCTTTATATTCTGCACTAAATCTTCCCTAAAGCAAGATCATAAATAATTTTAAAGCCTCCAATTATCAGCCATAGTAACAGCATATCAATATCACAAACACCTACTTGCACTTGACAAAAAGATTGTGGTTTGCTTGTAAAATAATGCTTCAGTGTTTAAACCTGCTTAATAAAACAAGGCCGAATATAAATCAACATGAGAATGTTATACTGGAAGAAACTTGGACTATTTGAGAAACAGCATGGCATGCTCTGTTAAATGTAAGCTAATGTTTGTATTTTCATACCAGATGTGTATGTCTGGTAAAGCATTACAGAATTCCCCGTGACAAAACATCAGCTAATAATACCAAGAAAAAAAAAAAAGTAATCTCCTTATCAGAAAAGGAAGCACAAAGACTAGTAGTTAACAGAAAGTGTAACTGGAAGTCATTCTGATTCAGAATTTATCATCACTAGAATTGTCTAGAACTGATCACTGATGTGTAGAAGACTTAAGTAAAACCTTAGTATTTCAAATAAGAAAGACAAAGATGAAGCAAATCCTTCTTCCCAATAATTGAAGATCGTGGACTAAGCAAATGCATTCACAAAAAAAAAAATAAATAAAATCTGGACCATCTGGTTTGATTTATCTTTGTGATTAAAAAGAATTTTTTCTACTAACACAATTCTATTTCACATATGGCTAGCTAACCTATGCCAAATACAAGCTGCATACAAAGCTGAACTATGCACCATCTTTAAAATGTCAGTCCCCAAATGACATGTTCTTGCCTCAAAATTAACCCAACCTAGCAAAATTTCCTATGTAAGAAAACTCATAAAAAAAATCACAAGTCAACTTAATTAGGATTTTTGATTAAACAGAGGGTGGTTACATTTCTACCCACAGTATCAAAAAGTTTATTATTGCAATGACTATCTAATACAACAGATTTAGGAGCAAAATTTAGAAACCAAACAGCATTAGCCATTCAATTTAAATTGCTTCTGAAAGGTGAATCAGGTGAAAACTCTGAACCTGTCCATAAGCTCATATACCAGTAAGGATTGATTTCATAGGCAACAATTAGGACAAATGAACTTGCATTAGGAACAAGACACAAAATATTGCAAAATGACCATACTCAACATCCAAAAAAATTACTACTACTGGTTAAATAAATCTAATTTTTAAAGACAGAAGTAAATGACTGCTTGTAAAAATGAATCACATCTACTGAAAATTTATCTGCTTAATAATATTTTTGTTAAAAAAAAGTTTGCTTTTAATAACTTGGTATTTTGACAGAAAATTAAGTTTTGTGGAAAAAAAGTAAATTCTAAGACATCCTCCCAAGCTAGAAGGATTCCCATTAGAAAGGCATAATAGATTTTCCCTAGATTTATACATTTATTTAGTCTTAATACAGTGTACTTCTTAATTAATAACTTTAGAAATTATGCTGTCTTTTCAATGACACATGTAGGCTAGTACAGGATAAAAAAATTTAACCAAGATGCTTTGTTTTCAAAAGGAATGCTTATATGAAGTAATTCTGTAAAAATAATTTATTTAATAGGGCTCAGTTGTCTCTCACTATACTGTGCACAATATATACTGGTAACTCAATGTCACACACTGATCTGTTGCAGGACACATTCTCACCTGCAGAAGCCAAGAGTGATCTTGAAAAATTCAAACCACAGAACTAAATGCATGTTCTGTCACTTCTTAAACTAGTCCTAAAATTTGTGCTATCTGTGCACAGTTTTATTTTACAGTAAATATATGCTGTTGTCTCTGCTTTTTCGTTAAGTTCAACAGCTACCAAACAGCCCCAGGAGCAGGAGAGAACACCTTCACATGAGACAGAATCACTCATGGGACCCATCCCTCCACTACAAAAGTATTAATGAACCTGCCAAATTGGGATTAATCATCCAGTCACTGCTCCATAGGACATACCAGTTCTGCAAAACTACAGTATTTCCCACTACAGTCAGGAAAACTGAATTAATTGCCCCTATTTTAAAACAACACATTGGTACCACAGAACAGTATCAGATCGCTCCATCCTTGAGAATTCTCAATAATAATACACACCCTGACATCTAGAACCTAGGCATCAGTAAGATTACCACCAGGGAAATTGCCACCACTAAGAAATGGACACAAAAACAAATCCAGGAAAGAGTAACCTCCCATGCCAGCAAACACACTGTACATGTTACTTGCAAAATTTGCATTTGTCAACTCCCTTGTGGTAAAGAGGCTTCTTCTGTAATACACTTTGAGAGCACTTCAGTGGCAGTGGCTTGCAGAGCTCTTCCTCTTCATTATTTAAGTGAATGGAAAACATTACAGTAGTAGGAGAAATTCCTTGCTAAGTTTTCATGCACATGTGTATTTATGTGTAAGCTACTGAGAAGTCATTTAACTGAATAAAAATTATATTTAGTGAAAAATTATGTGATGAACTCATTTCCATTTAAGAAAGAAGCCCAGTATGTATATCAAAATCCCCTTAAGTTCTGTATTTTCTATTAGAAACCTTTATATTTTCAGTACAACTGGAACAGTTTTATGGCTCCACTAATATGAAACTGCTACTAAAAGCAGCACCTCGGATTAAGTACAGCATGATGCCTATTTTACACACCACTGTATTTTGCAGATTTTTCCTTTCTAACTTTAGCTATTTTTTCAACAGTTCCTGGATTTGAGGTATCACAGCGGGTTTATACACCTATATCCCCTCTCATGTCCCTAGTCAGCCACATGGGTAGGTGTTAACAAAGTAACATTATTTATGCCATTTGTTTTCAATCATTTCCATTCCCTTATAAAGACATGAGACACAGAGGTAATGATCTCTTGATGTCAGGACCATCCTGTAAGTAGAAACTCTGGTGCACTGAATATACAAAGGGCTTTACAAGTAGAGGCTACAAAGTACTTTATGAAAAAGTTTTAACAACTATTGCTGTTCTTATGGATCAGCAGATAATGGCATTGGGAAACAGAGATCTTTGCTCATTATTGCCCAGTATGTCAACACTACAAGATAAAAAATATACAAGACCTC